AGCCAATATTATGAAAAAGCTGCACAGTGTTGCAGAAAAAAAAGATTTATTTAAAAAAAATCTTCCTGCCATGTCTTCTTGTCCTGCATTCACTCATAAATATAATAATAATAAAAATAGTTTTCATAATCTTAAGAACAGTAGTTTGCAGTATCTGTTTTCAGTTAGGCACTTAAAAAAAAAAGAAAAAAAAATATTGAATTTAAACAAGACTCTGCAGTAGTTTGACCAGTACCTCCTCTTTTCTAATACATTTCCATGAAGAAGGAAATAAAAGCTGTAAAAACAAAGATTTAAAGCTTCACATGAGTTGTTTATCGGATTTCCTTCCCTGTAGCACCCATTGTTTGTTGTTTCCCTCGAGGTAATTTTCTCCATTTGCCATGTAATAGATTTCTTCCTCTAGTTATCTCCTCAGCCTCAGTGCAGTTTTGTGAAGTATTCAAAAGTGAAGTTTCCTCAGCTCAGGTGAGTAGTTTTTCCTTCAGTGAAAGAATCGCTGTCTCTACAGACTCTGGTGTTGTTACTCTCCATTCTCTGCCACTGTTTACAGATGTAGTTGACTCTGGGGCAGCCACACCTGGGTGCTCCAGCTGCTAACTCTGACTCCACATTCCTGCCTAAGGAGCCTCTGTAATTAGCTTCAGCTCAACAGCATTTCTGCTGCTTCTTTTGTCAGTGTGAGTCCGTGTCTCCCTGTGTGTCCTCCTGACGTCTTCTGTAATCCCTGCCTACACCTGTGTGTTTACAAGAAGCAACGCTCCTGTTTCCTGTTCAAATAACTAAGTATTGTTGACGAGGAACAGGACTGAAAAAGAAAAAGAAATTAAATGAATCAAACCCACATGGAGGAACCTTAATACAGCGGTTATCAACTAGTGGCCCTTGGGCCTAATCGGGCCCTCCAAATCGTCCAACACGGCCTGTGACTGGATTCCAACATAAGGATCAAATAATGTTGGGCAGAAATATGATTTTTATTTCAATTTATTTGATTGTTCAGTCCCCTAGGTCTCTCATTCTGGCCCTCTTAGTGACCCCTGCTGGACCCTTGTTTGCTGCCAGCAGTTTATGCATACATGTGTGAAAGCCTGTGAGTGTGATGAAGAATAACTAATACCAGAATTTAAAGATTTTGCACTAGTTTAGTGTTCCCACTTTAACACAGCTCTGTAGCTCCAGAGCTGTGTTAAATCACCATATTTTTCTTCTCTGGTTATAGAAGGCCTTCACACGGCACTGTTGTTCAGAGCCAGTTAACTACAGTCACCAAGAATGTTCTCTGTAAATGGCACCCTTTGACTGTTTGAATGGGCTTTTGTGCACCTTTTAAATAATCGGGCCCACCAAAGGTAGCCACAAATGAAAAAGGCCCCCACCTCCGCCCTCCCTCCTCCACCACCACCTCTCTCCTGTTTAACAGGTCTTAGTATGACCCACAAGTCAGTTTGTATGAATACAGACTTGTGTTTGGCCGTCGGCCAGCGGTAGTTTGTCTGCAACGGACTTGGCCCTCGTCAAGGAGCAATGCTGAGGAATCTGTACTTGTGTGGATTATTTATAGCCATGCTGACATTTACACTGCTCTGGTGCGGGTAGGGTGGGGGCTACTTGGGGCTATCCTGTCCTTTGATTATGCAGCTACCCTGCTCTTTCAAGATGAGGAAATGTTGCTCTGGATTTGTTATGTCCATACCTAATGATTTTTCCAAAATCTTGGTCTGCAAACCTTCAATTTCACGCAGGTTTGTGGATAAACACTTGTCCGGCAATGACTCATTTTCCCTGATATAGCTTACTTACTTTAAAACCAGTGACCTTGCACTTTTATTTCAAGCCGACTTTAAGTGGTACGTGGAATTGTGATTGTAACTGTGGTAGATGGTAAAAGCACCAGTGCTTACGTGTATGGTTGAATCAGCAGCACACATCAGAGGCATCTGGGGTTTCTATCTACTTCCATATCGCACCGTTAGCAGCTTCTAACACAACAGGAAACTGTTTATCACCCCCTCTCACTTTTGCCTTGTTGGTCTTTGAAGAAGCTGTGAGACTGTGAGACATACTGTAATATTGGTTTTTGTCGTGTTAATATTGGGGAAACAGAAAAATGTTTGATTTTGAGGCTTGAGGCAATTTTTTAAGTCTGCTTGAAGTGCTTAAAAAGTGTGGTTCTTTATCCATCTGACAGAGTTGAGTTTACTCAACACTGTTTACACGGCTGCGATATACTACGTCCACAGAGCCTCCAGATACGGAGCATTTCCACGGCTCTGGCACAAGAGAATTCAGTGTTTAAACACTGCTGAATACAACTCCGGTCCCTGTAGTACATATGACAGGCCTGTATGTGGCGCTGTGTCATTCATGCTCTAATATATTACAACTGGATGACTTTTTAGTGGAAGTTCAGAAAACCGTAAAAGAAGCCATAGAGCTTTTACATAGGATGGCTAACTGTAACACAACAAATTAGCTTCTCCAGCAGGGTCGGAAGTAGCACAGCATCTGCCATTGTTGTTAGTGTTGCTTTCAGCAGGGTTACTGGGTTGAAAGGTTACACAGGTAGAGTTACAGGCTGACCGTATCATCTAAGTCTACTCCATTGAGTCACACAGAGACTCAATAACCAGAGCTTTAAAAACCTCTCCACTGTGGGATCAGTATATTTCTTGTTCCGCCTCTGTATTCATCTCAGCTGAAGGCCGACTCAGCCCCACAGCTCTGTGTAAAGCCACTAGAGAATAGCCCTAGGTCTTTAGTGATTCAATTGTCCAACATCACATGATCACATTAACAGTAAAACATTTATTGTACTTAAATAAATGCAGTAAAATACAATACTGTAGGTTCAACCTGTTGTGGTTTTTGTAGTCTTTTAAAATCTAGCGTCAAACCAAACTGCAGCTAATTTTCACCAGCAAAAAAAAACTGTCTCTGTATGAACTGTTAAGCGTTGGTGTCTGTGACTTTCATGAACTGTGGAGCTTGAAGAACAGACTGACCTTTGACCTTTGACTTATGGGATTGCACATCAGCAGCATCAGCTGTCTCCTTAAGCATGTGGACAACACTGTCGTCAACATCCACACGGGCACAACCACCTACAGTCACAACGCTGAACAGCACTGCTCCTTTGTAATCCACGGTTGTGTAATTCTACGCTGTTCATTTACACAAATGAGTCAGTGTGTGTATGTGTGTGTCCTCCTTCTGTACTTCTACTTGTTTGGACCAATATCATTGTCATAGGGTATGGAATAAGAATAGACATACTGTATTTGAGATAGTTAGTTTTTTTTATGACAACGGGCTGCAACCTGTGGCTCCGGAGCCACGTGTGGCCCCTTTGCATTGGTGATTTTTAATTTTTGTGAATTCAGCCAAATTTCACCATATTTAGACTTACTTTTGATGAGTAATATATCCTGTCCACCGGTATCGTTTGTAGAAAACGCACCCTGTAATTTCTGACTTAGCCTTGAGTGTGTGTGTGTGCCAGAGTTGATTTTCATGCAGGAAACAGTGGTTTAGTCTAAATAAACCACTTGAACCGTCATCAGACTCTGTTTAACTAAAGATGTGAACGACGGCGACTATGATGTCATTTTAGTTCATCTGTCCGCTGCTAGACCATGAATGTAATATCAGAGATCCCTGTTCAATCTTAAAAATTAGCTGCGATGCCCTCTCTTTGCCCTTTTGGCCTCACTACACATGCAGGCTGGTATTAGTGGACAATCATTAATCCGGACACATAATACCAGAAGTAAAGCAGCATGAGGAGGAGGAGGAGAAGGAGGAGGAGATTTGTACAGAGGTATTGCAGAGTGAACAAACTTCCAAAGAAACAGAGTTGGTGCAGTTCTACCCTGCTCCTCTGTAATTACCCAGAGGGCCCTGGGGCAAATGCATGTGGCTGAAACGAATGCCTCCCTCCTTCGTTCTGGCTCTGCCTGCCTGCACACATTACACATAAAGTCCCAGTTCAACCCCATGTGTCTGCAATATGGGAGGTCTTGAAGTCTGCATGTCCAACTTGACTGGAGTCAGTGTGTGTCTCCTACAGTTCTGATGTCCTCTTTCATCGCTCGCTCTTTGTTCCGTCTATAACAATTCATGTTCACTGTGTTGCTCTCTGATCTGTTCCAGTTTCACTGCTGCTGTTTCTTCACGTCCAGGCTCCCAGCAGCTCACAGAGATTTGTGAGATTTTACCCAAAGCCCATGAATCAATATTTGCCCAATAATTTGCTTTCCAAAGGTTGGAGAGTATTACATAATTGTCTTGTGTAATAGCCATGCTTGTGTTGAACCACGTCCAGAAACAGTTTTTTTTTTTCACTGATGAAGAAGAAGTGGTTCTTAGTGAGCAACCAGTAATCATACAACGTTGTTCTTTAGGAACTGCAGCGTGTAAACACTTTTCAGGCCAGTACCACTGCTGGATTTCCAGAGTAAACACTTTGACAGTCAGGAAGTGGGATGGAGAGCTGGCGAGGGGAGAGGGGAGGTGGTGGGGGGAGCAGGAGGGTTTGGGGTGAATTTGGTTATCTTTGGGCTGTTTATCAGCCCGGTTCCTCCTCCTGCTGCGGGAGTGAAAATTCTTCTAAGTGCGTCTCCTATGAAGCCTGTTTGCTTCAGAGGGGTGTGTGAAAAGTGGAGGAGGGGTGTTTGGGACCGTGAGCCCAAGCCAATAAGGAGGGGGGTGGGTTCACTGATGAATAGAGAAACAGGTCTTCTGCCCTGGTCTCCCCGCTGCTGGAGCCTCCCATCATGCTTTGCCTGTACTCTCACAGGAGTCTTCAGTTTGGTGCCAGATCTCACTCACGTTTGCCAGCTGTTTTTTTTTAATGCCCTACTTTAACGTTTACATATGAAGAGTGTAATAAAATATGTCTTTTATAGCTTTTATAGCATGTGAAAGTACCAGGTAGTTTTAAATCAAACTTTAGTGTGTGTTCTTCCAGCCTGTCGTCACTCACCTCTCATGCCTTACAGGAAGTGAAGATATTTCGAGCGCTGATTCTGGGTGAGCTGGAAAGAGGGCAGAGCCAGTACCAGGCCCTGTGCTTCATCTCCCGCCTCAGCCGCAATGAGATCATCCCGAGTGAGTCCATGGCGCGGCTCAGACAGGTATGTATGACATTGACACTTTTCTCCTGGACACTCTTTACCTTAAATGACTGTCTCTCCTCACTTCAGTCATAACATCTGAGAGTTGGACTTTTTTTGTGTCATTGTTTGCTCAGAAAAACCCACAGGCCATTCGTCTGGCAGAGGAGCGGCGAGGCCTGGAGCAGCTGACGATGAACGTGGCCGTCAATCTGAGTCGGGCCCTTCATCTCAGCTCCCACATACACAACATGTGCAGCGAGGCCTGCGAGGCCATTTACACCCGGGAGTCCGACGTCAAACACTGGCTGGAGAAAGGTCGGTGCTGATTGACCTTTTTATTATACAAGATATTATATTAATTATGTTTACAGGTACTGATTCAAGTATTGTAATTTGTTTACTTGATGATACAGAGTACCAATACTGATAATTCTGAAGATCAAACATACGGCCTGGTGGCCAAAACTGGCCCACTAGGAGGTTTGATCTGGCCCTTTGATGAATTTTGAAAGTGAAATAACGCACAAACACTTCATGTTGGTGGTGTTTCGTTGAATTATATTTCATTAAATATGAATATTTTCAAATATACTTATTTGCTGGAAAACAAAGGCCTTTAATATTCTGCAAAGTTAACACATCCAGTGGAACAGAAAGTGAGTGGAGTTTTTACACCAGTTAAACATTTCGAATGTTTCAATAAAGAAATTTTAATGAGTCCCAACGACCCCTCATCCGTCCACTGGGTGGTGAAACTGAGAAGAGACATTAGTGCTTGTATCATAATAGAACCAACCAGAACCAGAACTCCAAACTACTGACATTGTGGACCTACTTAAACTACACCTACACTGAGAGTAGAGGGTAGTTTGACCAGCAGGTTTTTGAGTTATTTGAATGAAACACTGTATTGCTGATTTGCTAATACCAGCTGTACCATTGTCATTGTTTAAAGCATAGATAAATGTTAATAGTAACGTTTAACTAATCTATAAAACTCTCTGTTACACCATATTTTATCACCTCCAAACTTTCCCATGTTTCCAAATTTCAACATTTTTGTGACGTGCCTTTATCAGACTGACTGTCTGCTGTTACGGAAACACTTTGGTTACTTCTCACATCAGTGGGAAAACAAGTGTTTTCACATTGCCCTGGATGCAAAACACAACATTAAAGACTTATTTTTGCTTCTTATTGGCCTTTTGTATAATATAGTACGATCCAGTATCTTAATAGTAATGAGGTCCATGTTGTCCAAGCTGAGGAGAATCCGTATGACAGCGGCATTGTTCACTGACAGCACTGTTATACAGGGAACAATGTTGATGGTCATGGTTCAGCGGAGCCTGTTTTGCATTAAACAAGGCCGTGAACCGGTGTCTGTGAAAAAGGACACCGTTGTGTCTCTTTTGCATAACAAAGCCCCCACTATACTGCACCGTCTCCCCTCTTTCCAGCCACTTTGTTTGCCCTCTTCAACTCAAGATGGGGGTATAATTGATTTAAATCAAAAAGTGAATTATTCACACGTATGTAAATACCAAAAGTTCTAATGGTAACCTCCCTCTCCTCCGTGTGTCTAGGCGTTGATGGCTCCATATTCGAGGTCCTGCCTCAGTCGACAGAGATGCCCAACCTTCAGGCCTGTCACTCCACTAAAGACTTGTGGCAGCCCTGTCTGTGCACGTACAGCCTACGTCTGGAGTGGTACCCGTGTCTGCTCAAGTACTGCCGCAGCCGCGAGTCCACGGGCAAAGGCTCGACCTACAAGTGTGGCATCAAGAGCTGCAGCAAGGGCTACCATTTCGACTACTACGTTCCCCAGAAACAGCTCTGTCTGTGGGATGAGGAGACCTAGCATTCATACTGGGCGGTTGACGAAAGAGAATTTTGTTATCATCTCCAGCCAAACCGTCGCTTCTCCACCCATGCCTTTCAACACTAAACAGTCACACACTTGACCTCAGGTTTATATGACGACAAGTGAAGCTGTCTCAGGTGGGGAGTGGTGGGGATCCAGATGTGCTGGCCTAAAAAAAACACACACACACATACAGCTTTGTGTTTTAAATGAGACCAAACCTTTAGGAAGGAGAATTGCTGCACATTGGCCCAGGAGGACTCACTCATTTGATGCCTTTCTTTCTGGGAAACAGATTTTAGCAAATAAAAACAAACGACTTTTGGCAAGACACTGTCGATTTGGTGCCTTTTTGGAAATATTATGTGAGCAAACGGGACCAACAACAATAACCTCTTAATGGAGCTACTGTATGCACAAGGCTAGACTCTGTTTTTTTTTTTGTTTTTTTTTTGGGTCAAATAGAATAATCAGAGTAACAGAGGAACAGAACACGCGGCTCTGATTAAAGGAGGTGCACACAGATCATATTCAGTCTTGAAGGAAATTTGGATGGTGGACTTTCTCTCCCCCTGAACCTCTGTGAAAAATGTCAGATAAAATGATAATATCTGGCTATCAAAGAGATTGTCTCTCCAATGCTGGCTTTATTTATTTTGGTTGCATAGTGAGATTATGGAGGAGTATTTTTGTACATTTTTACGGTGATAACTATTGATTTTCCTTCATTTGTTTATAGGCAAGCAGGCTCTAAGAATGAGTTGTCCGAACCACAGTTCTTAATAAGAAGTATTCGACACATATTACATTTAAGCTCATTAATTTATGTTTTTTTAAATATATATTTTATTTTCTTCATTTCTCACTTATCGTTCCACTATCCTGTAAACCAAAGTCAAAGGAAAAACTTTTTTTTCTCAAATCGGCCTGTTTTGACTTTTTTTTCGTCGTGTCTACAAATTGGATTGACCGCCATTCTTTTAAACCATGCCGCCATCTGCTGGTTAAACAGTATTCTTCATTGTTCTGTTTACGATGTCTTACCTTTTCGTCCCAATGCCGTGCGCTGTTCGTTCTATTGCTTATAAATATGTTGAAAACATCTCAAATCCCTGAACTAATTATTTGAGCACTTCTTGACCACACAGGACCAAAATCCAACGCGTTCATTGCTTTCTTGCAGCATTACTTTGAAGTCTGTGTTTTGTGTTAATTTACCTCCATTCTCCCGTGAATTTTCATTGCCATATCAACATTTTCTTTCGTGTCTCGCGTTATTTTAACTAGAGAACCAAATAAGTTATGTATTTGTAATAATTGCAGCCTCTTCTGCCGATCAAGTGCCTTAACAATTCCACTCGTGTATTTTCTATGTAATTGTAGTTTAAGGTGTTGAGATTTTCTCTCTGAAAGTTTTTGTTTTGACTATGCTGTAAAAAGTTGCCATGAGGATAAAATGAAGCAATTGGTTGACGTACCATTTGGTTTGTTTAAATTAGTTGGTTTAAATAAAGTCTTTCCTTGCACTGCAAATAAAATGTATGTCGTGTGGGTATTCTTATTAAATTGATGTGTATATCGTGATATAGTGGGTGGAAAGCACATCATATTTTTTTAACATTTGCATTGGACATAAATACAGAATTAAAAAATACATAATCTCAAAAATACAAATTAGATTCTATCTGGACATATTTAATAACCTGTGAAGTACATTTGCATTTCTGTTAGAGATTAGAAATATTCACCTAAATAATTATTTTGAAAAAGTCACTTCATGAAAAAGTACAATTCACGAAAACAGTGAGTTTATAATCCAGGTGTTTATTGTATGTAACACAACAATACTTCATGCATTTACTTCCAAATAAATGTTGACATTTTTTATTTAATTTCCGCCTCCAACCAGTAGATGGCGCCAACGTTACAAGACGCCTCAGCCTCCATTTGTTTGGACACCATGGAGATAAGCAACGTGCTTTATAGTTTACAATTGAAATGAGCTGTGGCTCTAGCCGAGATGCAGTCAATTCGAAAAAACAGGGGGGCGGGGGGTTGGGGCACAAACTAAAATTATTCCCGGTTAAATCTGTATGAGCAAAGGTACACGAAGCTAAAGATTCACTAATGCAGGTGGAGCTCTGTTAACGACGAATGGCAAATAGCCGCTGGTGCGTGTATGCGTGTGTCAACACGCCTTTAACAGCTCCCCACAGAAACACACCTAGTCAGAACCAAATTGTGAGGATAAAAGAGAAGAAACTGCCATATGTTCTCCTCCAAGGTAATTATATTTCATTTTCACTCCCTGGGTTCGTCCGGAAACCTTACGCTTTGTTAGCCTCCATCCATCGTTAGCCTCCCTGACCCAGCATCCTCTTCCTCCGGTATGAGCTGTGATGCTAGTTGTAGTTGTCTGCCTACAGCAGCCAAAACTCTATGAACAGCGTCTACAAACGATTTATTGTCATTTTTTCTACCAATAGGTTATTTATGTGTTTGTTTATATTATATTCTGTAGAATTGAAATGAACCACAATTACTTCTAATCCCATTAAGGCACACCTTAATCTCTCCGAGCATTTCATATGTAAGTGTTCATTAAAAAAAACCCTATTATTATTAGACAGAGACATAATTTAAATTACCCAAACGAAGCTAACACTATTTACTTCATTTAAAGATAATCTAGCAGTATTTAAAAATGATGTCATTAAGACTGCAATACTAATAAAAGGATTAAAAAAACGTTTTATTTTGAAAATGTAATGATCCTGTCCGGTGGACCAAGGACTGGTCGGTACAAAAAGGTTGGGGACCACTGATTTAAATGGTTTTATAAAGGACATTCTACAACATCATAATAACTCACCTCAACCTGTTGCTATAACGAATATTAAGTATCACAATTTCATTTCACAATTATATTTGTAAAATTTGATATTCATGTGAAAATATATTTTTCCTAATTTTTTAAACGTAGAATTATAAAAAGAAAACACAGCCCTCGCTTCTGTCTGAATCTGACAGCCGTCAGCTTCACTGTTTCTACCAAACTCAGATGAATGTGTTAAGGGCTGTGTGTTAAATGACAGAAGCCTTAGTGTCTATTTACACAAACTAGAAGCTGTTTAAAGTCTGTTGGCATTTTTACTTAAAGGCTGTAAGACTTAAAACAACATTGTTTAATTTGATAAGGGAGGGCCAGGTCTTGTTGCTGGGTCTTGCCTCACAGAGGAAAAAAAGACATCACACCATAAGAAGAAGACACGTCCCCCTCACTCCACCAGACCCACACTTGGCCCACTATGGTGCTATTATAGTTCAAGCAAAGGCTGTTTGTTGGTCCCTTACAAAGGACTGCACAGTGGAACTTTTTTAGTGGATAACGATGTGTCTTTCTGCTGTAAATGCTTCCAGTAAACTCTGAGTTTGACTTTCGCTTTTTGACTTGTTTGCTCTGCCTGCAGGCTAAACGAAGATGGCACTGCTGGTTGTTTCTTCTCTTCTGTGTCTGTCCTGTTGGGTCTCTTTCTACTTCTTCTTGTGTCACGTCAACGGATCCAGGAGCTATGAGTGGAACTGTCGCCTCGTCACACTGGTACATGGTATCCTGGCCGTCTGCATCACGGCCTATATCGGCTACGTGGACGGACCGTGGCCTTTCAGTTACCCAGGTAAGAAGATAACTTATTATGGAATAACATGACTGCCTTTGTAAAACTGGGAATTCATAATTTAGTACATGCAGAAAAATCCTGTCTGCCAAGTTGATTTATTTTTAATTTAATTAATATTATATCAATAACAGTAACTTTTTCTTTTGTCTAAACGACATGGTATAGTCCAAAAATAGTGGGGTTTTTTTGCATAAGAAAAGGCAATAAAAAAGAGAATAAAATACATAATATTGTGGTGAACAAAAGTAACAAAAATTTGAATACAATATAAAACAATATGGCCAGAGGGTAAATTATATACTGGGGAGCCCTGTAGAATATATGAAATGCAGTACAAATATCAAGTATGAATAAGTCAGAAATATAAATAAGTGGGAAACCTTACGTATAACTGTCAATTTCAGTGACTTTGTTGTTACTGAATTTAATGAGTCAAAAAGTATAATTTATAAATACAGCTAATTAAATTAATTATGTGTTTAATTTTGAATGTGTAAAAGGGTGTTTTCAGAGGAGCAGTAAATCCTGTCAACAGTGTTAAATATAAGTTGTATATCTTAAGTTTTCAAGTGTCATCACCATTCATTCTGCTCAGTCCTTTTCAGCAGTCCGTAAAACTTTCCAAACTTTAAATAATAATTATCTGTTTTCCTCTATTTTCCTGCAACAGTATTAATTTTCCCTAGGGGGCGGTATGCCTAACAACTTATTATTTTTATTATTATAGTTGTTAGGCATCAACCTATTTTAATTCTTATTGCACAAATTTTTGTTGATTTGTTTCTTTAAGTTCTGTATTTAAATGTTCCTGTGCACCAAGTACTCAAATTAAATTACAGCACAGATGTAATCAGATGTAATCATATTTTTCATGCGTTGATGAATTGTTAGCTAACACTCTCTCCTGTCTGTGCCTTCTGTGACTGACAGGTACTAAGAACACACCTCTGCAGATCAGCGCCCTGGTGGTGAGCCTCGGCTACTTTATCTTCGACATGGCCTGGTGTGTGTACTTCCGCACAGAGGGTCCAGTTATGCTGGCCCACCACACCATGAGCATCCTTGGAATCCTGCTGACCCTGTGGTTGGGGGAGTCTGGCATTGAGTCGTGCGCGGTGCTGTTTGGCAGCGAGATCACCAACCCACTCCTACAGGCACGCTGGTTCCTCAAACAGACAGGACATTACAGGTCACGGCTGGGGGACGCTGTGGACGTCTCGTTTGTGCTGCTGTTTGTGGTGATGCGTATCTTTGTGGGAGGCACAATGCTGTACTGTGAGCTGATCTCTCCCAGACCCAGATTCTTCATCAAGTGTGGGGGCGTGGCCATGTACGTTCTATCCTGGGTGTTCATGGCAGACATTGTCCGCTTCGCTCGGCGGAAAAGCAAGAATTGGAACAAACACACGAGGCCACAACCAGAGCCTGTGGCAGTGAACGGTCATGAAGACAAGACCAAGTGATTTCTGACATAGAAATGTCTTTACAACATGCACCGGACCAAGAAAAAAATAATTTTTTATTTTAAGAATTAATTTTTAAAAATGGACATTTTTACATTTCACTCAGCAACGCTGCTAAATGGATGATAGACTGAATAGGACACAGAGAGCACAGACCTCCAGCAACACAACAGTCCATGTGTTGCTTTTGCATTGTCATTGACAGTAAAAATGTTCTTTTTCCTGTTCAGCAATCCAATTTAAATGGATAATTTATATTATTTAGGATTTGGTTAACAGATTTACTAAAAGTGTGAATGGTTGTTTGTTTGTATCTGGACCCTTGATGGACTGAGATAGAGTTCAGTGTGCAAGCCCTGCCTTTGCCTGATAATTGTTGGCTCCTGCTCTCCCCACCACCATGAAGAAGGATTTAGTGGTTATCGCAAAAATATGTGTCAAATGTTCTCAGGGAGATATGGTCAAGACCTACATTGTCAGTTCTAGTGAAATGTGGGTGTTGTGTTCCCTTCCCTCTCTTCTTCCTTTTTATATAAGAGAAAAGTATATATATAATTTTATCCTATATTCTCCTATACTTTTTTCATTTCTCTTATTTTTTTCTTTTCTCTTATAAAAGAAAACCTGAACAGATTTTCATCTTGGTGACATGACTGGGTTCTTATTTTTATTATGGTGTAGCTCATTTTTGACTGTGGGTGATTTATAGCATTTAATGTTGTGATTGTTTTCGTAATTCCATCCTCCAGTACAAAGGTTTACACACACAGCATGCAGTCACTAAAAACCATCACGCAGTCTTCGGTCATAGCACAGGGGTGTGCTACTCACAACTCATGAAAAGCTCTATGCCTGTTGCCATTTACATTTATGCATTTAGCCGACATGAGGAGTATTAAAGTATATGGCTTCACTCGGGTTCGAACGCCACATTTCGCTGTCATTTCTACTGCACCATACTTCTTTAACTTGGTATCAGTGTAGTAAGTAAAT